ACCCCAACCACCACCCCCCACCCCAGGGAAAATTACCTACCAGCTGGAGGGGAGGAAAGGCGGGAAATATCACCTATTAGTCAAGCCCTTAAAAGTCAATTAGTCCCACTCCATCATTGTGCCAAAGGGCAAACAGGCCAGAGAGGGAAAGACACTTATGGTTGATAAGGTCACAGCTGACCTGGTCAGGGCAAACCCAAGGGATTCATCCACCTCCCACAACCTGTAACCTCTCTTAGGAACAGCTCACAGACTGAAGTCTCAGCGCTTTTGGTTCCCTTCCTCCACCCCCACATTGCGGCTCTTACTTCCCACTGGGGAGCTGGATGAAGAAGTGTGCACCACAGTGGGCGATATGAAAGGACTGAGTAAAGTTGGGGCAAGATTTAGTCTAGACTGGATACCGCACTGGTTTGCCTCAGAGGTCAGACGGAGACTGCATGGCTGCCCCATCCGCAGGCTCCATAAGTCATGAGGCAGACCACCCCAACAGCCAGATAAATGCGAAGGGCGGTGGGGCTCTAGGATACAGCCCATCCCTCAGCTCCTTGCTGAAGGAGCAGGCAAAGCATCCCCGAGTTACAAGACTCCAAGCCAGACGGGGGCTTAGAGGCCTTCAGGACTCATGCTCTTACTTTGGTGGAGTACTGAGCTCTGAGAGCTACTTAATGACAGAACCTGAACCAACTATGACTCTTTTTAATACTCCCCCTCCTAACCAGAGGGGTGTGTCAGTGTTTCTGAGATGAACTCTTACTGCCTTTCATTTGCACACCTGGAACACAGCAATAATATGTTCCTTCATTCACCTCCTTCCCTGTAAGAATTTTAGTAAAGAGTATAAAAGTGAAAAAGAATGTATAAAAGAGGATTATTATAACTTTTTACCAAGTCAGTAGGTGCTTAAAAATCTTCTTACAACACCTTTCTAACCACCTGTGTGGAGGCAACAAGAGCCCTGAAGCTATTTGGACCCTTCGATCCTATCATACCATTCCTAGTTATATATCCCCAAGGAAATAACCCAGAGCTAAGATGTATGTCATCCAAAGGGTTCGCAGAAGGGCCCTTTATAGCAGTGGAAACTGGAAAGATCCCAAATGCTAAAAAATGATGGACTAAGAAAACCATTCTGGACAGAACAATGGTACTCAAAGCAGCTTTGGAGCGTGAGGCCGAAGCAGCAGGCACCGGTGTGCAACAGGCCTGTGAGGGAAGTGTGTTCCAAGAAGTATGGGCAGAGCATGGCCCAAGGCCCATCTTCTAGTTCAGGCCCTGCCACTGACTCCCCAGAGGGGCCACAGAGCTGGTGAGGGAGCTGCAGGATCCTCTGGTCCAAGCAGGTGCTGAGGGAGCTGTGGCCCTCCTGCCTCGTCTTTCAGAGGGTGTTGGATTTTCAGTGAGGGAGGAACAGAGAGTTGGAGGTAGGGAGAGTCTGCTGAGTCAACTCGTCTTTGCATTATTCCACTCATCACAATGTCCACACATTACTTTGTACTTTTTAAAGAAAAGATTATAGGAAAATTTACAAAAGAAAAGAAAATCCCCTTTATCTCCTTCTGTGAGCTCATGTTTTCAGGGAACTGAAAAGATAATTTTTCCTCAGAAATGTGAACCATGCTGGAGATCCTGGCAGAGTTCCTGATGGCTTTCCAGTTCTGGGTCCCAGTTCCTCATAAGGCCCCACTTCTAGTGCCTGACATCTCTGGAAACCTCCACCCGCCAGCTCCTCTTAATAATCCCCCTGCTGGCATGCCCTCCTTGGGGCATGCCCACTTGAATCTCCTTTTTGAATGCATTTTCTTTCTCCTAAACTCTAACCAACCCCGGGAGACTTGCAACCAGGGGAACAGTGGGCAGTGACAACTCGTCCCAGGCTAACCCCCTGAACCCGTCTCCAAGGCACTCTTTTCTCTGACTTTACAGTAAGCCAAAGCAGCCCTGCCTAGGCTCTCTCCTGTTGCTTCTAGGCCCTTCCTTGTGTCACTGTCCCCAGCTTTAATAAACGTACTCTCAAAATCAAAATAATAATAATTAATAATAATAATAATAATTCCCCTGTTGACTCCAGAGCTTCCATCTGTCACTATTTCTGCAACTGAAAGAGTCCTTGGCTAAGACAGCTGATATAACAGAGGCCTCCACTGTGAAAGCACAAAGCTCCATTCTAGCTCCTCAAACTCTGGCTACTCCACCCTGGAACTTCAACCTTTCCCAGAAGGGCAACCCCCCACCCCCACTATATCTCAAACAACAATCTCAGACTCCTCTCCCTAACAGCTTCTCCCGCATCAAGACCTCTGGCCTCTAGGCTCTCCTGCTTGCATTTGCCTTTCTGTCTGGTCTGGGCCCCTCAAGCAACCACTCAAGTAAGTCTCAGC